GGTGTCGAGGAAGATAGTTCCAGCTCGGATCTTCCCGACACGCGGGCGCCTCCAGCCGCGGTCAAGGTGAAGGAGGACGAGGAGCCCGCTAGTGGGGCCCAGGCCGAGAGCGCAGAGGAAGGAGTCCTCGTGCTCGGCCAGTCGGTGGTCACCAGCGCGAAGGAGTACCTCGCGCGGTCCGAAGCTCTTCTGAGAGCGCAGAAGCTCCAGTCGAGAATACTGGAGGTTGCGGGAACTGCGATGGTGAAGCTGGAGAAGATCACCAAGCGTGAGGAGTCCCTCAAAACGCTGCGCCGAGAGGGAGAGAGTCGGGCGGCCGGGGAAGGCGCCGACGGGGAAGAGGTGTCTGACGATGGTCAGGACGCCCCCGGGGCTGCGGGGTCGAGCAGTTCCGCCAGGCCTTCGGGAGGCGGGACCGCCCAGTCCGCCTCAGCCTCAGAGGAGCCTCGCCCCAACGCTGACGGCCACTACGGATGTTCGGCTCCGGGATGCGGGCTAGCCTTTGAGTCGCTGGTGCAGTACCACTTGCATCAGGCGGCCTGCCATGGCGCCTCTCTTCCGCCTAACCTGGGGATCAGCCCCTCCGCACCTCTTGACCCTTTTCGTCAGGACTGGCGGGGACGGCTGTTCCGCCAAGAAAAGGACGGTGGGTATGGGGAGGTGCCCACGCTCCGAGTGATTAGGTACCACAAAGCCAACGGGTACGATCACTCGAGAGTCCCGCTCCTGAAGCGAGGGGACCGAATCCAGCTTGAGGATGGATCGCACCACATCTATGGTGGTAGCCATCCGCCGGGGTGGCTTCGCGACGACCCCGAGCTGGACCCCCTTGGTGCCCCAGAGGGAAGCGATGGAGGGTCCACGCCCAAGAGCGAGCCCACGGAGGAGGCCGTGCCAGAGCCTCCGCGGAAGGCCGCTCCGCGCGGGCGGGCCCTCGAGCCGCCGAAGGGCGACGTCCAGCGACGCCTGGCCGAGCGTCGCTCCAAGCGAGATTACTCGCCGGACCTGGTGACGCCTCTTGACGAGCTCCATGCCAAGGAGATCGACTCCTTCTTCGCGGGCGACCCAGCCGCGGATAGCCTTGACGTCATTTTGATGCGCGCCGAGGTTCGCACTGAGTCCCACCTCAACGTTGGCCGGGAGCAAAAAGAGCCCCTGGTCAAGGAGGAACAGGAGGAGGAAGCTGAGGTTGTCAAGGACGAGGAGGTCTCGGTTGAGATGGAGGCAGGCACCGCGGATGAGGCGGACGATGTCGCCCTCCCAGCCAACCGAGCCTACGTCGAAGGCCGCTTTTACCCCTACGGCAGCTGGCGGTGCTTCTTCTGCGAAGCCATCAACCCGGTTACCGAGGACCAGTGCCTCACCACGCACGCGGGCGGCCCGAATGCGGGCGCCCCGTGCGACGGCCGATGGATCAATGGGATCGACATCGGGTGGTGGGAGGTAGATCCTCAAACCGCGCCAGAGCAATGGAGGCGGAGGTTTTCTGCCGAAGAGCTTGAAGAACAACAAGCGCGGGCAGACGCCGCGAGGCTTCTCAGCGATGAGGAACTCGCTGAAGCCCTCCAGGCGGCCGAGGAGGCGCAGGCGGCCGAGCGCGCCAAGAAGCGAGAGCGGCGCCAGGCGGAGAAGGCGGAGCGCGATGATCACATCAGCGAAGCGCTCCGCATTGCATGGTGGCAGTGCCCTAACTGCTATGAATGGAACCTTTCATTCAGGCAGCTGTGCTTTAGGTGCAGCACACCCCTCCGCTTGGCAGAGGTCGTGTCCCGCGGGATCCCGGATCCGCGGCGCGGCGAACAGAGGGACTCGGGCTCCGAGAGCAGCCAAGATGAGCTGGAGTACGAGATCCTTCTGGCCAATCGCGCGATGGATCAGGAAACGATCCAGCCTCTTCTTAGAAGCAAACACAAGAAGAGGGGCGGCAAGAGACGTCGCGAGGAGGCGACGCACGGCAAGGGCCGCGAGCCGTGGGGTGCTTGGGCAGACGCCCGTGGCAAGGGCCAGGGCAAGCCGAAGGGCAGAGGCAAGTCCGATGCCAAGGGCAAGCCCAAGGGGAGGGGCAAGTACGCCTGGGGCGCTTTCGCCGCGGGCATTGTTGCCGCGCTCCAACCCCGCCCAAGCACAAGCTGGGTCCCAGCTTTCCCGTGCGGGCCGGCCCGGCCGCCGCCGAGTGTTCCGCTTCCGCCGCGGACCCCCTTTTTCCTGGGTCGCGGGCTCCTCAATCGGTTGATGCACGCCCTCAACGGGAACATCAACGGCTGGTGGGGCCTGGCGGCTGCAGCGTCGGCGCCGATTGCCTTGCAGTTGCACCGCGGGGTCGTGCATGTTGTCGAGGACTCCATGCACGCGGTTGCAACGGTTTCGGCCGACGTTGTTGAGGAAATCGGCCATGGGGCCAGGCGGACCGTGTGGGTCGCCGGAACAGCCATCACTCTGGTAGTAGTGATCTTGTGCGGTGCTGTTCTGTGGTACGTGAGTCGTGCCGTTGCCAATCGCATTGCGCATTTGCGACATGGCAACACCGCGGCCCCTGAGGCGCGGCTGTCTCAGCTCCTTGGCTCCGAAGCGACGTTTGAAGTCGCGAGCTCCAAGAAAGGGGTGTCCCATAAGGTTTGGGTGCATCTCAAGGAGGAGACAGCTGCCTGTGGCTGTCGTGCTTACCTGGCAGAAGGACGCTGCGGGCATTGCGATGCCGCAATGGACACCGCTCGTTCCTTAGGGTTTTTGCACGCGGCCCAGCGAGGCGCGGGTCCTGCGCTCACAGACTCCATTCGGAGTACCGCCTCCGATGCCCTAGCTAAGGGTAAGGTGGTGTTGGGTTTGGGGAACAGTGAAGGGTGTTTCTCCCAACTCGCGGCCAAGAGCCGCGGGCTCTCCTGCTTTCAGGGGCTCGCGGGTCGTGACCTGGCCGCGGCCCCAGCAGATGGAGCGAGCGCAGCCCACGCACATTCCGGCTCCGTGCAACGTACCGCCACTGCCACTGTGGCGCGCACGCCAGGCCGGAGGAACAAGGGCCCAGCCCCCGCTAGGAGTTCTCCAGTCAAAGAAGCAGAATTCCTTGCGGGCGGGCCATACATTCAGGCCGCCCAAACGCTGCTTGGGTCCGGAGCAGCAGAGGATGTGATCTACATCCGGGCTTACAGCTTAGATTGCCCATCCTGCATCGAGGCAATCGAAGCGTCGCTTGGCAAGGGCGCAAGCGTTCGGATTGTCGCCGACATGGGACAATGCCACCGCACCAAGCTCCAGTGGCAAGCGTTGAAACGCTTGGCGGCCGCAGGTGCCGAGGTGAAGGTGGGTTGCGGCACATCCTTGCGCGACGCCTATGCTCGCGACGGCCGCGGGGCTAAGGTAGGCGCCGGGATTCAAGGGCTGCACCATGCCAAGGCCCTTTGCCTACTGCGGCCTGACGGCGCGGTGGTGCTGATTGGGAGCCTCAATTTTACCACAAGCAGCAAAGCCAATGCGGAGGCAGGGCTTAAGCTTGAGGTCCCCAAGACGCACCCTGTCGCGCAGTCCTACGTCGAGGATTTCCAGAGGGTGTCGGCTGAGGCATTCTCCCTCGATGAGGCGGTTGCAAAGCGCCCTCAGTTGGAGCGAGCCAGTAGCTCCAACGTTGCTGGCAACGCCACTCGTGCCCCCAACACTGCTCCTCAGGGTATCGAGTAGGCTGCGGCCAGTTGGCGCGGCGTGGTATGTATCCACGCATTATCAGAGCAGGCGTCGCAGCACGGCACGTTGCTTCGCCAACCTTTTGCACTTTCTTTTGCGTGACTGCGGGCGAAAGCCGCGGCAGGTCGGAAGCCTGCCCATTTTGCATTCCCCGCACTTTTCTTCTATGCCCTGCCGGTGGCCCCTCTTGTCGAGGGTGCTCTTTTGCAGGTGCTGCGGACCGTGTCCTGGTCGCGGCAGTGCGCTCGCCGAAGCGCGTGCGAGTTGCACTGGCTGCGGCACAAGCAATGTGCGCGGCTCTCGCTGAGTCCGGTAGCCCGTAGGGTAGTTCTGGATAGGTGAGTAGCCGTAGCCGTAGCTTAGGGCCGGTAGTTTGTACAGTGTACCATTTGTACCATAGCTTTGCACTAGCAGCACAAAGACCTGCCCAGTACTCTGGAGCCTCGCCTGCCAGCACAAAGGTGAGCGCTCGCGACTTGGGGTGGTTTAGGGTCGTAGAGGGCTGCTGTCGTCGTGCGTCCGTTTGGTAGTGCGGGCTGCCGCCCAAGCCACATGCCAATGCTCATGATGTGCGGGCTCTACCAGGGTCGCACGCGACACCCTCGCCCTAGCCCATTTGCCGCGTTGCGGAAGTGCTTGACGCACTATGAGCTCTTGGTGAGCCGGAAGCCTCGGCTGAGGGGCGAATGTGAGCAGGTCAAAGCATGCATGGTGTGCTTGCTTAGTGCTAGTGCAGCGTGTTGTTTTCCTTTGCATGTGTAGTTTTGCAATTCGTAACAATGCCAATGTTTTGGCTCAAGTACCGAGCTTGTGCCTTTGAGCACGGTAGTTTCGTACAGTAGCTCTTAGGTTGCTGTGCGGTCCGACCGGACGCACTCAGGCGTAGCTGCACAAGTGCTTGAACTCGCGAAGTCGTAAAACAGCGTGACCGGGCTGTGATTGCATTGGTTTAGTGCAAGTCCAGTGCTGGTCGACTTCACAGGCTACAGTTTGTTCACTATATACTATATGATACTATTGTATACTGGCTATGCTATACAGTATAGTCTACGATATAGTATACCATATAGTATAGCATACTAACTGCACTATATAGTATAGTATACTCCACTGGCTTCGTGAAATGTCTTCAAGTTTTGAAGCTTCCCCTGAGCTGCGCCGCAGTAGCGTGGTGTCTGACAAATGAATAGAGTATAGTAGGAAAATATATATACCGAGTATTATATAGTATGCTATACAGTATATTATATGTAGTATACTATCTAGTATACTATCCAGTATACTATACCGTATATTATCTAGCATAGCTAGCCACAAAGATTCTCATGACTTGCCCCGGAGGCGTGCTTAAGACGGTGGTCAACTTCCTCGTTTTGATTCTGGACCAAGTCATGGATTTGCATCTGGCGGCCAAGGGTCACGTGGAGTTTGCCTGGGCCCTGTCGGGCATCGACTTGGGCACCTTGGAAGTGCAGGGCGACTCCCGCCCGGCCGACCTGAGGCGAGAACTGGAGGACCTTTCAAAAACTTCGGCCTTGTCATTGCGCCTTGTGCTCGAAGGCGTGCAGGAAGTACAAGACAAGGCGACGACAGAAGCAAGCCTCGATGATGGCAGCTTGCAGGGAGGGCTGGAGCACCTTCGCCAGGTCGACGCGCTCCTCGACTGCGCCCAGCGCATGGCGCTCGCAGATCGCTCGCCATGCCGAGTGCTGGCTTTCCGAAAGGAGCCCCCACCTTTTCCAGGGATCAAGCCTTTCTTGAACTTCCTGTTCCGGAATCGGCATGAATTGACTTGGGGCCCGAGTGCCATTTACGACCTGACGCGCGGCGTTGTTGCTTTGGAGCAGGATGGTCAGTCTCGCCCGCGGCGCAGGGACAGCAACGACAGCAACGACAGCGACTACAGCTTTGACGAACGCCAATTCGACAACCCTTCCCGGACGAGAATCGACTGCAACACACAGTTTTTCATGCCCCTTGTGGATGAGGAGGGAGTGGAAGATAGGAGCTATGAGGTTTTGGGTACTGCTTTACACCATGCCGTCTTGCGTGGCCTTACCAGCGTGTGCAAGGGCCTGCTTGATGACCCGGCCTTTACAGAAAGCGACGCACACTTTGACGTCGGCATCTGGAACCGCCGGGGCCCCGAATATTGTTCTGAGCGAGGTACAGCTCTCCACGCGGCCCTACCCTCAAGCCTTTGGCGCAACACTATCAACACTGAGATTGTCACAATGCTCCTTCACCACAGGCGCTGGCAGCTGACCTCGTTGACGTCAATGCCTTGACCTCTGAGGGTTGTAGCGCGCTGCACATGGCCGCTGCCTCAGGGGATGCTGCAACTTGCAAGCTGCTGCTGGACCATGCTGCCTTCACGGCTGCCGATGCATGGGGCACGTTACCAGAGTCTATCTCGAATTTTTGTTGTACTGACAGGGACCATGACGATGACCATCTCTATCACCCCTTCGACCTCTATTGGTACTCGCGGTGCCACATGGAGGACACCGGCACGGCCTTGCATACAGCGGTTGAGATGAACCATGCAGATGTTGTTGCAGTTCTTCTCGGCCACAGCCGCTTCACAGCTGTCACCTTGGCGAATGGAAACGGAAAGACAGCTTTACACAGAGCAGCGATGCTGGGCCGACTTGGCCTTGTCAAGCAGCTGCTGGAAGATGGCCGCTCCGGGGATGTCCGGACTCGTGCCGGTGAGACGGCGCTCGACCTGGCCCTGCGGCTGAGGCCAGCGGAGCGCGCCCGCAGCCATCGCTCAGCCACCCTTTCGGACCACGAGCAGGAAGACATGCTTCGCAGGCATGATGCGGTGATCATGGCCCTGGGAGGTCATGGGCTGAAGCTGGACATACCCAACCTTTCCTCGCAGAGGAAGCAGGCATATGAGCAGTGCTTCCATGCCGAGGACCACATGGATGGCCGCTGGCGCAAGCGTCTGAGTCTCCGGAAAGGGGGCCGTCGAAAGGACGAGGTAGCGAGGAAGGCGGCCAGGGAAGATGAGCTTGAGAAGCTGGCTGGCAAAGCCGCAGGCCACGTGAAGAAGTGCAAAGAACCCAAAGCATCCAAGGCCCTGAGCAGCTGGAGCATCGACTCGCCCGACTTTCAAGTAAGCCTGCCCAAAACCACAAACCTTGACGTCATCAAGCGACGCCCCCAAGTGAGGTGCACAGGCCAAAGCCTCACCATGATCAGTGGGCACCAAGGTGGAGTCTTGGCCGCGTGCGACGGGTTGCGGCATGAAAAGCAGCGCTCGGTGCCACAACTTCCGGAGCCGATGATATGTGTGCCATGCGAGACCCTAAACCTAAACCCTAAACCCTAAACCCTAAACCCTAAACCCTAAACCCTAAACCCTAAACCCTAAACCCTAAACCCTAAACCCTAAACCCTAAACCCTGTACAACTTGCGGAGCCCGGTGGGTGTCTCCATATAATCAGGGTATCAGCTTGAGAAGCTTGTGACGGCTTCGCGTAAGAATGCTTGATCGAAACTGGACTGGTTCAAGGATCCTCCCCCTAAAACCCACTACCCCTCCTGGAAGAAGCTTTGCAACCTTACACCACAAGGGTCCTTGCAACTAAACCCTGAACCCTGAACCCTAAACCCTGTGGGCTCCTGGGCCTGGGTCCCAACTTGCTGCGAAAGCTTTGCAAACTTGTCGTGGCCTCCATGCAGCAAGGCGTTCCAGCAGCATTTGCTTTAGCGCTGGCCGGCATGCTTCTCCTTGCCTCCGGAAATCTCCTTGACAGCGCTGGCTTGAAGGAAGCAGAGACTTACTGTTGGTTAGCAGGGAATGGGTGAGGTAGTCTATATCCCATATGTACCCTTTAAGGGATTACATAGGGTACCTCAGACCTGCCAACCAGCAGGAAGCAGAGAGGGCAGAGGAGGCGTGCTTCTCGGTGGTGGGACTGATGGCGAGCTTGGAGCAGAAATGCCAAGTGGCCAGCCAATTCGAGCACTTGGTTGATTACTCAGCTTGGTGGCTGGGCTTTTTCAGGAAAGGAGTCTTTCTAGTTTCAACCCTAAACCCGCAACCCTAAACCCTAGACCCTAGACCCTAGACCCTAGACCCTAAACCCTAAACCCTAAACCCTAAACTCTAAACCCAAACGATTGCCCGCGCCGTCTACGGGTTGCGGCATGGGTTTGCAGCTCCTGCAAGGGCTTCCCGGACCAGAGGGCGAACCAGGGCGGACCGGGGTGGGGACGACAGAAACTTTGCTTACTGTTGGTTAGCAGGGCAGGGGTGAGGTACCTAAAATCCCTCCCTGTATATATGTAGAAATATATATATATATGTATATATATATATATATTATATAAATGTATCCTTTAAGGGATGAAATAGGGTACCTCATTCCCTCATTCCCTTCTAACCAACAGTAAGCCTGGAAGGAAGGGTTGACTTAGGGCAAGGAGGCCAGATCCGGGTCAGCTTGGTTTCCAGACGCCTCTCGGCCGGGGGCCGAGGCGGACTTGTTTCAAAAAGAACTTTAAGGTTTAGGGTTTTGGGTTGAGGGTTTAGGGTTTAGGGCTGAGCTCTAGTTTGCAAAGGTCCTCCGCCCTTAAAGAGCAGGTATGTCCTGGAGCAGCTAGCAAGTCCGGGCTTTACCGAGTATACCTGGCTAGAGAAGCTGGCGCAGTCTCCCGTCGGGCAAGCCGTGAAGCAGAAGGCTCCCCCCAAGGTTTAGGGTTTAGGGTTTAGGGTTTGGGGTTTGGGGTTTGGGGTTTAGGGTTTACCCTAAACTCCTGGTTGGAGGTCCCAGGAGGCATGGAATCTGCAGGGTTGGCCATGGCTTGTAGAGCTCACTCGAATTTCCCTTTTCCACAACAGCAACGACACGAAATCCTTGGTCTTACTCGTTCAGGTGCTATACCTGCGATGCCTGGTACATGTAAAAACTGCGTCTGCGTGCCCACACCGGGCCATGTGTTTCCTTGCCCTTCACGGGCCTCGTTGTTGCCCTTCACCGGGCTTGGACCGCTTGACAGCGACATGCACCCTCTTCTTCCCGGAAAAACGTGAGCACACCAGCACTCCTCCTCGCCTTGTGGGCTCGCTGCCCACTAGGTGTCTCATTCGGGGTGCTCAATGTCCATCATGTCGGCGTAGCAGAGCATCATTGAAAGGTCTACGGTAGTACAAGGGGTAGCGCTCCAAACAAAACGAACAAACCTGGTACTCCGTCACGCGCGACCGGACTTCCCTCATTCCACGGCAGTGGAACAAGTGCACCTTTTCTCCACGTTCAGACTTGTAGAAGACACCTGTGAAGAGCTCGAAGTCGTACTCGGGGCTCTGCCTCGTACGAGGCGGATCGGGCACTTGGCCCACTTGTGTTTCCTCGGCAACCGCCGTGGTTGTCCGAGCTGGCTCCACATTTTCCACCAATCGTGTAGTTGGCGCAGTAGCTGACGACGACGATGACATAGCCACAGGGGAGCCCTGACTCACAGGAGGCGAGGACTGCACCTCTTCCGCCCGCAATCCCATCAGCTCCTCTTGAAGGGCTCTCGTTGTCTGATCTCGGATTCGCAGAAGTCTCCGGGCCCTTCGGACTGTAGCCTCATCACTACCACAGCATCTTCCAAGGCACCACTTCATCACCTCCCAGATTCCAATCATCGCCACACCACAAAGCACCATCAAGCCATAGAACTCGATTCCAGCGTCGTAGGGCAAAGGGTCCTTCTTAGGCTGCTGGGGCAGCTCTGCTCCCTGCGTGCCCTTTACCAAGGCACATACCACCAACATCATCATGATCCTCATCTGGTTGAAGCGAACCTCCGACTCCGGCACCTTGATCCCATTCAGGATCACCTCCTTCGGGCCCTCCAGGAACTCTCCAACTGTCATCATCTTCCAAAGAACACGAAGATCACGCAGTCGTGGTGCAGGAACTGCCTTCGTTCCCATGTCCGCCGCCTGCACCTCCCCCGGGGAGTGCTTCAGCTCCAGACGCCCCGACGCTGTCTCCTGACGCAGGAATCGCGCCCGTATCCTAAGGTGACGTGTCTTCCAGCTTCCTGGGGAACTTGACGCGAGCCCCAGTGCCGCCAGGTTGTCGATCAACATGGTGACGTCCACCTTCGGATGAATCTCCTTGATCCACTCCTTGATGCTCATGGCTTGCTGGTAGGCATTGATGACCTCATACAACTCCGCCTCCGCCACCGAGAGAGATATCACGGGTTGTCGCGCCATTCTCCAAGCCACAAATCCTCCATGCAACATCGTCGCAGCACATCCGAAGCTGCGTCCGCCTCCCGGCGCATAGCTGGCGTCTGAATAAGCCAGCACAGTCGGTCCTGTGCCATCGTAGGTCAAGCCGAGGTCCACGGTGTCACGAAGATAGCGCAACACCATGCGCCCCAGTTTCAGCGCAGCCTCAGGACATCGGGTAGCGGCACTGCATACATGAGCCACAGCAAAGCTCACGTCAGGTCGAGTACGCATACTGAGCCATAACAGCTCTCCAGCCAGTTTCTGAGCAGCATGCACCGCCGAAGGATCCGGTTCTGCCTCCTCGGCTCCATCCTCCGGCTCGGGGACCTGCGGCATTGCCTCCCGGGTTGCAGGTACCAACGACGGAGTCCACGTTTCCACACCATGCTCACGCAAGAGATCTCCAATGTAGCCCCCTTGACACACGTGATAGGCGATCCCTCCGTCCTTCATCTTGCTGCGTATCTCCATTCCCAGGTAGCGCACAGGGTCCTTTCCCACAAACTCCAGCGGACTGCATTTCCATCCAGCGCCCTCCTCCTCAGTTCCATTCACCAGCCATGAGTACATCTCCTCGATGTGGGCCCGCTTGCCGAGGAACAACACGTCATCGACATAAACCACCATCATCGCGATGGTCTCCTGTGGATCATCCACCGGATGCAAACGCCACACCGACTCGTCCGTTTCAAGCTGCGTGAACTTCATGTCGCGCCCATCCACCGTCAGGCGGGCGTTGCGAATCCGCCTGTCCCGAAAGATTCCCCACAGACGAGGAGCCTCTCGCAAGCCATACAAGACTCGATCCACCTTGTACGCTGTTCCCGGGGGCACCACACCAGCTTCCACCAGAATCTTCGGAGCCGTCACCGCGTATTGCGTAGCACTCTCCGTCATCGGTGTCAAGGTGAAGGCGCTGTTAATGTCCGTTCCAGCTGCTTCCCAGTTTCGACTCGCCGCAGTCGCCAGTGAACATCTCACACTCTCGGCCTTTGCATTCGCGGTGTAGAGCTCCATGGTGTCACCATCCTTGACAAAATTCCCGCATATTACGAAACGGGTTTTCCGTTTGTATTTGCTCTGATGCGCATCCTCCGGCGGCTTCACCGTAAACACAGTTTTGCCCGGCACCAAGATCAACTCACCCGCTTCAGATTGCCGCTTTGCCTGAGACAAAGGTATTGGTCTCAAAGTCCCGGATGTCTCCAGCGTCGCGACCTCCTTCTTCATGCTCGGCACCCAGTCGGTCAAGTGCTCTCTTACCTCCTGCAGGCTGACATTGTGCACCACTTCCAAGGGCCCTTCAAGTCCTTGCAGCAGCTGCTCCACATTCTGGGTCACCGCTTCCTCCACCGAAACCTTGTTCACACGCAGCATTTTCAAGCGAACTTCATCCACATGAGCTTGGTTGTCCTGCATGAGATAGAGCTCCATGTAGGCGACGGTCTCTTCCAGGTTGTCGATGACGGTCTTCACATGCTCATCCACAATGCCCGTCTGCCTCTCTTGTCTTTCCCATATCTCCCTTTCTTCCTCCAGCAGTTCTCGTGCCCATAGAAGTCGTTCTTGTACTCTTTCACGAACATGGTCCTGGACGGGGAACGTTGGTGTTGCGCTCAATTCACCCTCGCCTCCATCCCCTTCACGCACAAACTTCATTGTCCAGTGCACTCCCAGCTCCACATGTCCCCCGGGTACATGAACACTTTCTTTCCAACCACCACCCTTCTCGATGTCGTTCCCCTGCAATACTTTCTGCTGCGGCTCCTGAACATCGTCTTCCTCCTCCTCATCTGCCCCAACAGGCACCATGAAACCCATGTCCCGCAAGAGGTTGTAGTTCTCAGATCCCACATTCTTGAACTTCCTTGGAACGTAGCCCACCACGGTGACTCGGGTTCCTGTCCATGGCATCGTCGCGTGCCACCTGTGAGCCCACAAGGCCTGGATCTTTCCCTTCACATCCATGGTTCTTCCACGCACCAATCCCCTGGTTGTTGCCCTGTACACATCCAGCGCCGTGTTTTCTTCCAGGTACGTCTGCTCCCACACTTCTCCTCCAGAAAAGTCACCCATGCCGTACACCGAATTCGCGAACTCTCGCTCGTTGTGTAGGTCACGATGAGGTAGTAGCTCCTGGTTCACGTTCACGACGATGGTTCCGAAAGGCATTGGCTCCTTCATCTTGTTCCTGAGAAAGGTCGTGAGGAAACGGGTGACCTTGGGGAACTTGGTCGTGTTGGTTTGCACGCCCCAGACTCCTCCGTGGACGTAGGCCCCCGTGCTCCAACTCCCACACCAATCAAAGTCCTGTGTCCCCCTCCTTTTCGGACCACTTGTCAACCGAAGTGCTCGGACGATCTCCAACGCATCCTCGTCTTCGTACTTGTTATATTCAAGTTTGTCGTGGGCCCTTTGCTCCGCAATCTCTTCTTCTCCATCTTCTTGCCCTTCTTGTAGCACACGTACTCCCGGGCCATCTGGATCTTCCAATCGCCTCTTTCCACGAACTCGCCGTCCTGGATCTACGCGATCGGCCACCCATGAATCATCTCCACCAGAGGGTACTTCATCATCTCGAACCACTCTCATGTGCAGCGTTCTGTGCCAGGTTCCATCCGCCAGTTCAAGTACATGCCCTTCACGCACATCATCGGCCGGACCCAGGTACACTGCCTCCTCCCATCTTGGGTCGAAAGGCCCCACATCCTTTTTTGTCTTCACCATCACTTGGGACCCGAACTGAATCGGCGTCATTGTTTTTCCAAGCTGACGAGTGTTGTGGGCTGCACACGCATGCTTCATTGCACAGGGCCAGTACTTCTTGTTCAAGCCGGAAGCCGTGAGCAACACACGCGCCCTAGCCTTCAGCCACTTCACCTGGTTCTCCGCCATGGCATTCTGCGTCGGGGCCAAACCTTCAGTGTAAGTCTGGTAGATGTCCCGCTCCCGGCACCACTTTCGCAGTTGCTTAGTTCTGAACTCACGTGCCCTGTCAGAGTGTATCCTGGCCAGTGGAAATCCATTGGCCCTGAGGTAGATGTAAAGGTCTTGGACTGCCGCGAGGATGTCCGCACCCTTGTGTTTGGCGAGAGGAACCGCGAACCTGAGGACCTGGAATTCTTGTGGTTTGTTTAGGTCCCCCACCAATCTCTTCCACTCCTCCTCATGGTCCTTGTCCTCCTTCCTTTCCACCTCCTCTTCAGCTGCTTCTGGTTCAGGACCTTCCTCATCCACCTCCTCCTGGCCCAGGTACTCATCGATGTCATCAGGGATCGGCATGTCCTTGGAGACCACATCAAAGGCCTTCGGGAACACATAGGTAGCTGCCAAAACGAACTTGTACTTGTTGGCCCTCCCGTTGTCGTTCCGCTCGTCTATTCCCTTTTCTGCAAACGCGCCACCAATGTCCAGGCTCAAGACGTAGGCGTCCCTGTGAAGCACTCTTCTCGCCGGTCGCCCCGTTCCCGCCGCCGACAAACACACCGAGCAATCTCTCCTAAATGGCCAATGCCCCGCTTCAACGTGACGCCGCCATTCTTCCAGCTGCTTCGGAGTGAAGGTGTTCATCGCCACAGAAATTTCGCCTCTCCATGCCCATCTTCGGATCCCCTTCGCCAGTGCTTCTCGTAGTCCCGGAGCCCAAACAGCCATGTCCTTCGAATTCCCAGGT